TTCAGAACTAACTTGGAATCATCAATATCACGCCTTGATAGGATCCTTATTTGAAAATGACTCCTCAGTCCAGTCGGCGGGCGCAGTCCAAGCGCCTGAAGTCTGCGGGAACATCTTCCAGGATTCTTAAGTATACGAACCTCATAACAACGCGTGTAATCGAATGGCATTACAACTCGACCGTAGTTTGCCACAGGTAGAAAGTCCATAGGTAGAAAGTGAGCGAGTTGGGGCTTTAATCGGATGAGTCAGCTCAACACCGTTCAGGGAAGGAAGTTGTAGTCAGGCAATTTTCTTCTTTTTTTTTTTAAGAACCATGCACGTAATTGCCGGATTGACACTAACCACTTAGGACCGGATTTGCATGACACATAAAGTGCCTTCGAAAAAATCACATAGAACTAGGGGGTGCTTACCAACTGCCGTCAGGGCAAGATCATCAATCAGCGCACGCAATAAGCTGACACCCTGTGCCCTACAACTGTGACAGCAGTGTATCTATTCACCGAAGTGTATTCAAAGAAGTGGGCAAACACATCCTGTTACGGATACCTCTGCCATCTCTGAATATGTATAAATTTCTTTTAGAGAGGAAACCGCCTCTGGGAGAACATTATTGAAGACACTATCGATATCTTGGAGCACGCCTAATGCAAATTGTTTGAAGGCATGAAGGCCTTTTCAATGCCGTCCCTGCTGGAAATATATAGAACTGGAATCACTTTATGGCGCATTCTACCCATTTCAAATCAATAAAGTCCGCTAGTACCAACCTCATATATTAATTAAGCTTCTATTAAGAACAATTTTTTGTAAATGCTGCCAAAAACTAGACGAAATTCTCTATTCTCCATACGAGAAACATTTGCTCAACTAATAACAGTTTTTGGTGGTTTTGACGAATGCAAGATTTTGAGTTAATATACTTTGGAGGAAAATGCTCGCAATGTAAGTAAGCATTTCTGCCACTGTATAATAGCGTGGATTGAGCAGCATTCAATGATTTTAGTAGGTACATATGTATTTCGACATTAATTTAATGGCTTTCGGACAACTACTTTGTGTTGTTTTTGTTTTTATTCTTGCTATTACTGCTGTTGGTGTCGCCGTACTAGTAATTCAAAACTAAAATGGCTGCGGAAAATTGTGCTATTGCATGATTTGCACTTTGCAATCTCGTGTTTTTAGCTACATACATACATACATACGTACGTACATACATATTTGTTTTCGGTCTGCGCTCTGCTGCCTGCAATTATTTTGTTTGTTTATTTTACTGCTATTTTAGTTCATAACTTTTGGTCGACTTAACATCAATTAGTTTGCAATTTGAGATTTTCGGATTAGTACATATATGTACATACATGCATACATGCATAGATACGCACATACATACATATGTACATATGTGGGGAAATCCACGAAACCTTTGACTTTTTTGATACTCGGTTGTCTACGCAAAAAAAAATAATTAATTGCATGCAGGCTTTTAGTTCCGCTACACAACTATCCGCTCTAATGATATGCATACTTAAAGACGAAGTTTGATAGAAAGTTCCTGGTAAACTTTGAAAAGTGAAAAACCTCGATTATTTTCACTTTTTCACATACGATACTCTGCACAGAGTTTTCTTTATTGTGCCTCATAACTTTTAGAGGCATTTATGAATCGTTCTGAAATTGAAATAAGATATAGTTTTTGCAATGAGAATTCAATTAATTAATAATAAATAAATAATAAAATAAAATTTTCGCGGTTTTTTGTCTATTAATTTTTTTCTGGACAAAATACCTTTTTTTCTGGACAAAATACGGTTTTTTCGCTGGCGCAGCAATAATTTTACTTTTAAAAAATTGAATCTTCAAAATTTTAATCTTCACCGATCAATGTACGAACTTAAATAAATTGCGAACTTAAAAATAAAATGCGAATATGGAAGAAATTGCTCAACACCGTCAACAAAAATAATTTCCAAAAATCATCGGTATTTTATTTTACATACTCAAAAGAGTTCAAATTTTGTTTCAATGTTAAAACTTTTTATGAAATATGGTTTTCCCATGTGTTATTGCTACAAAATGTCTAAGGGCCTGAAAAGATTAAAAAATTTGCAACTGAATTCCATTTTTGTAAAAATTCAAGGGTTTCATGGATTTCCCCATATATATGTATGTATGTATGTATGTATGCACTTGACTGTTATTCATCGTGGCTAACAATTTCCAATTTGACCGCCAACGAAAAGGGCAAAAGTGCTTGTGGCAATAGTAAGTGGTTGCTGCAGCCAAGTCTAGCAATTTTACAATTTCTCAAGCATTTATTGGTAAGCGCTTATCAATTAAAAGCTGCAATTTGCAAAGTGTTAAAATAATAATTTTAAAACTTTTTAAGGTCTCAGTCTTAGTTCTCATGCTTACTTATATTGCTTTTAAAGTGTCACAAAAACACTTCTGTTTGAAATGCGATGAAATTCAATAGCTATAGCGATAAGAACTAAATAACAACTAAAGTGCATAGATGCTATGTACTTGAATATGTATGTAAATTTTAAATGAAAATTAGTTGAATTAAATTAGATCTAAGAGGACCTCAGGAAAGACAGCATGTGAGAGAGCTTGAATCATTTTATATTTATTTTTAATTAGTTGATTTCCAAAAATTAAGTGTTTGTAGGAGATTTTTCTGTATTTTTTAAATAAATAAAATTAAAAAATTAGATAAGATAATAAGAAATATATATACATACATTAGGGTGCATCACTCACCTTACAAAAAAAAGTAAGTGCGCCTGGGCCACACTGGAGAAGTGAAACTTACGCTATATATATCTAGTTTGTCTCATAAACAATATATATATGTATGTACATACATACATACATCTGCTTTTATTATACTTTTTGCCTTTTTTCTATATACATTTATGTTGTTCTGTTTTCCTTTACCTTTATTTTTATCTTTATACTTTATCGATAACCAAATCGGTAGTAACATCCAACAAAACAACTTCGGTAAAAAGACCGATAAGAAAATCAACAAAAATATCGATAACAAAATCGATAAAAATATCTATAACAAAATCGATAACAAAACTTATAAAAGTATCGATAATTAAGTCAATAAAAATATCGATAACAAAATCGAAAAAAATCAATATCAAAATCGATAAAAATATCGGTAACAAAATCGATAATAGTTCGGAATAAAATCTATAAAAATATCGATAACAAAACGTACAAATATCGATAAGTAAATCGATAACAAAATCGGTAAAACGTCAATAACAAAATTTATTGAAATAACGATTTTTACATCGATAAGTTCCGAAAATATCGATAACAAAAGCGATAAAAATGTCGATAATAAAACCGTCAAATATATTGATTAATAGATCGATAAATTCCGAGTATCCGAGTATCAAATTGAGTCTGTGTCTCATCTATATCCTTTTTTCTAAAGTTACCTTTATTTTAATTTTTCTTCTTCTATCTTCTTCCATCTTTACTTTTATAGGTATCCTCATCCTCATATTTTTCTCAATATTCTCTTATGTTTATCATTTTCTGCATCTACATATTCCCCTTCACCTTTGCCCTTATACTATAACTTTTTATACTTACCTTGATCTTCATTTTTGCCTTTATCTTTACGCATTTTTTTTTTTTTACCTTTGCCTTTATCCTTCTCTTTTTCTATGTACGCATATGTATGCCTTTTCTAAGCGTTATGCTTTAACCTTTTATTAGCTAGTTCTTGTTAAATGAATACCATGTGCATACACTCGAGAAGCACTTGTTTCAACCCCAACCATTTCCGTGTGCGATTTCCGTTGCCCCATTTCCGTTGCACCATTTCCGTGTGCAATTTCCGTTGAATTTGCCAATTTACTCCCAACCGCCGCTAAAGAAGTTTCACTTCTAAAATGGTATCGTTTTTCCATCGGAGCTATAGTTTACTTAAACTATATGTTAAAATATTTCTGATACTGTTAAGATCTACGTGAGCTTGTCCGATTTCTAAATGCCTGCAGAAATCGAGTTTCTTGTAAATAAAATTAGTTTTAAAAATATTTTTTGCGTAACATCATCTCGGCATAAAAATGTTAAAAAATTATAGCAGTGGCATCAAAATAATGCGTTTTTGGAGATACTTTCAATTTAGTCCAGCTCACGTAAATCTTAATATTCTTCTACCCATACAGTGATGTATCGATAATACTTCCCAAAAATTTCAACCCAGACAATGTTTTTATACATAAATATGTATATTTTGGGAACTACTAAATACATATATATGTATATGTATGTAGTTTCTCACTCGTTGGAATTTTAACTAGAAAGATTATGTGTGTACGAGTACACAAACTTATTTGTGTGCAATTCTCGCTTTGTATTCCCTTTCTGACAGAGCTGAATTGGCAGCAATTAAAAATGCTAGCTACTCAAGTTACCAACTTAATTATTTGCAATTTAATTAAATCGATTCACAAGTTTGCGATTTAAGTTATCGCCGAGCATAAAAAGCAAACAAACACATATGTACGTACATACTTATGTTTAAGTATACGTAATATGTAAGCATACTTGCTTACTTTCCAAAGGATAGCAATATATTGTAAATAAAGAAACCGTAAAAGGAAAAATAAAAATAAATAAAATAGCGTCGCGCATTGGAAATGTACAAAAGTGAAGAAAAAGCAAGAAGTATCCAAATCAAAAGGGAAACTAGAAACAAAATTGTTGGCAACAAAAACAATATTAAGTTCGCTCCTTTGATGTTGAATGTTTGTAGATTTGTGTGTCGCTTTCACTTTGAACACTTGAAAGGATATCTGTTCATTGTACAGGTGAATAATATAATTGTAAGTATGTATGTACATAGTGTACGTGTATTTATTTTGCTTCTAATCAAAAGCATTTGGCAACACTTTGTGCGCTGGCCACCCACATACAATCGCATTATCGAAGCATACAACTGTCGGTATGTATTTATATGCACATATAAACATAAATACGTACCTGAATGTACATATGTATATTCATATATGTATGTAGTTCAGTTTAACTTGTAAGGACACTCATATCCTTTTTGAGCTCAACAAATTTAACAGTTGTAAACAATGTTGGTTTTATCAGTTTACCGTTTTAATTTAAACAACTATTGTCCGCAATAGAAATCAAGATATCGCCCACCAACAACTGACAAATCGACAACCACAATCAACAGCTATTCAACGGTGAAACATACAACGCCACCACAACTACCGCTTACCTCCATCAACGCCAACACCGCCAACACCGCCAATACCGCCGTCAGTGCCTTCACCGCCAACTGTATAGAATTACCAATTTGCAATAAAAAGCAAAATCGAGCAATACGAAAAACCTATAAAAGGAAACAATCACTATTTGGTAGACAAATACGAGTCAACAAACAACAATAACGGAAAAGACTTGCAGGTTTGTGTACATCCCAAAATCCCGAGATTCTTGGCAAAGAATCCCGGGATTTTCGGATTTGTAATAGAAACTCCCTTTCTTGGCCAGTATTGGCTATATTTCTTTTTTTATTTAATAATTAATATTTTTTTTTTTTGTAAATGTCTAGCTCATTATACATACTATAACACCGCGCGATAGCAAATTTCAAAAGCAAATATTAATATATATTCGCGAAACCATGGGCCAAATATAGGAAAATTGCGTTTTTAGTTTTATACACTGATGTCAGTAATTCAAAATGATTTAAAAAATTCAGAGAAATGTGCTTAGAGAAGAAGTATGGATATCAAATTAAAGAGGAAATCCAGTATAATTTAAAAAGATTCAACTTTTTGGTGCAGAAGGACTGGTAAGTATTGAAAATGTCCTTTTAAAATTTTATCCTTGAAATTTCGCGATATTTGGTTTTGTAAAAATTATATGTTAAGAACTTATATAAACTCGATAACATCCTCGAACTTCGTCCTTCTAGCTTCATCAGCTTAAAAAATGACCTATTCATCCTTGTGAATCCACAAAATTTTAATTTTTTTAAGATCTAAAGAAATTTACTCCTTCATTTGGTACCCATATTCGTATTCTACATTTTTTAAATAATTTTTGGAATCAATCATATCTTTGTAGTACTAACCTCAGAGAGAAAAAATAAAAACCCCACTAAAAATAAAAAAGTAGATTTCAAACCTATTTATTTATTATTTATTTTATGGTAGGAGAGCTTCACACACAATATAGAAGCAATTTTTTCGATTTAAGTTGTTGAAAAATAATGCATATCTAAATTCCGGGACTAATCCCGGGATCCCGTGATTATGATAATGACATACCGAAAATCCCGGGATCGGTAAAAGCTGAAAAATTAACATCCCTAGTACATACATATGTATGTATGTGGGTAAAAAAAGAGAAGATTGTACTGAAATTTGTAGAATGAAATTTAGAGAGGCTGGGGATAAGCGAAAACTGGGGAGGTCAAAGTGGACTTTAAAAAAGAATTAGAAATATGTGCCCATGTGAATGGACACTATAGGCCTCCGCCCGGCTGGTTAGTGTCCTCAGGAAGACTAATAAGGCTGACAAGGCAAATAAAGTATACAGTCTTGCAACGCACAGTGGTTCAAAACTGGCCACTACTGAACATAATTCACTGGTGCCTTCATTTTTCACTAAATTTTATTAAGTTTTTTTAATGAAAGCTTATAAAATATAAACAAAAATCGATTAGAAAATCGATAGAAATATCAACAACAAAATCGATAAATAATCGACAACAAAATCGTAAAAAATCGATAAATATTCGATAAGAAATTCGATAAACAGACGAACACAAAATCCATAAATAATCGATAAATATTCGATAAGAAAACCGATAACAAAATCAATAAATAATCCATAACAAAATCGATAAATAATCGATAACAATATTGGTAAATATTCGATAATAATATCGATGAATTCGATAAAAATCTCGGTAGAAAATCGATAATAATATTGGTAGCAAAATCGATTAGAAAAGCGATAAAAACATCGATAACAAAATTGATAAAAATATCGATAACAAAGCCGATAAAAATATCGATACCAAGATCGATAACAAAATTGATAAAATATCGATGACAAATTCGATAAAAATCTCGGTAGAAAGTCGATAATAATATTGGTAGCAAAATCTATTAGGAAATCGATAAAAATATCGATAACAAAATGGATATAAATATCGATAACAAAATCGATAAAAATATCGATAGCAATACCGATAAATAATCGATAACAAAAATTGATTAGAAAATTGATAAAAATATGGATAAATATATCAATAACATAGTCGATAACAAATATGGATAACAAAATCGATAAATAATCGATAACAAATTCGATAGCAATATCTATAACAAAATCGATAAAAATATCAATTATTATATCGATAAGTCCCGAGAATCCCAAAGGGCTGTGTTCACCACAAATCCCGCACGAAATGTCCAAGCCGCAATGACTGAACACAAAGGAAAGTCCAGCTCTTCCAGGAATAAAATATCTTTACGGACGGGTCAAAGATAGAATACGGGGTTGGTGCAGGGGTTTTCATTAAACAATATAACCTAAACTTATTCGTTCGCCTATCAGAATATGCAAGCGTTTTCCTGACCCAAACGTTTGCAATTAAGGAGGCAGTAAGGCACATCAAAGATAATGTCCCCGCACCATGAATATCTTCTCGGATAGCCAAGCGGCAATTCAAGCACTCTCTTCTATCTATTTTAGATCTCAACTACTGGATGTAGGAGACAATTAGCCTTGCTTTCTTATCAATACGAAATTAGCCTTATATGGGTCCCATGACATAGGGACATTTACGACAACGAGGCAATGAACGAAATAGAATGCGTACTAAATATGTCCCACGTGGTGCACATGCGGGTCTCGCTCAGGGCCTAGTGAGATTAAAGCAAAAATTACCGAAATTTATCACCCGTCTTTACCCTTCCGCAATTTCGTTAGAGTTTTAAAGAGAGCACACCTTTTCGCACTGTGTAGCTAATAATATTTGAAAAAAGAAAACATTAATTTTCCACTTCACTCGTTAAACAGAAAGCAATAACTTTTCGATGATTACTTTCTAAATTAACTCCACACTCTTTCTAAAATTACTCGTATACACAAACTGCGCGGTAAATTTTCCTTTGTGAATCCGATTCGGCGAGATGGACAGGTACATACATAGTAAGTAGTAGTATCTGCACAATGGAAAAATTTGGCAGCCAATAAAAGTGTGCGAAAACAATCGATCAAGGGATACAGCGAACTTAAGCGTAAGTAGAGCACATATTGAATTTCTTCACAAAAAAAGAGGAAAAATAAATGCGCAGAAAGGAATAATATGTCTACTCCATATTGACAGCAGTTAATGCCTTTGATGGCTTTTATGCCGCAGGCTCAACCATGGCAACAAGGATAATCTTGAATGCGGGACAACACAGCGACACGCCGACAAAGAAGAAAGAAGCCTCATTATTTAATAAAAGTTTATAATTTGTTTAACGTTACTTTTGAGTGCAACGAAAAACAACAGCACGGCGGGAGCACAAAGCCGAGTACAGTACCAGCAAACAAGGACCTCCCGTTGTGGCATTGATACGATTGCAGTGCACTAACAATGCAGACACTTGTGTGGATCTAAAACTAATAACTAATAGCTACAATAACAAACAATTACGCGAACAGAAAATTTTTAGAGCTCCTTGAAAACTACAAAAAAAAAACACAATTTTGTTAAGCACGCTTAAGGCACAGCAGTATTGCTGCTAATCAAATCCGCCTACCCCCCGCTGTCAAAGCCGCTTTTACCACCAACGACTGTTTATTTATTTTTCTAATTTTCAGCTAAATCTGGTAATCTTGAACACACCGATTGCTACTTTGCTGGAAGTGTTGTTAAATAAATATGCTCGCAGATATGTACTATGTATATGTATGTGTGTACGCTTGCGTTGGAGTATGTTGAAGAGATGAAAATCAATTTGTCGCTACAACATAAAAACCGCAATAAAATTACCTTTGCGAGCTTAATGGCAAATCCCACATTCAATTTCAACATTCAGGAAGGATACATACTACTTTGGTGTAGAAATCCCAATGGCGAACAGCAAACCAACCACCGAATTGAGTGTTATAAATGCTACAGGCCGGATTGATGTGTGGAAGAGGGCATGAGAAGCTGGCAAAAACCGCAATAAAATTACGAGTGCGCCAATGAAACATGGACTTTCACATTTCAGCGTTGCATTTTCGCACACACACATACATATGTACATATGTATGTATCTACTTAAATGTAATTCGCGCTTTTATGTTCCCATCAAAGAGCGACACAAAAACAAAGCAAGAAAAGTAATCATAAAAGCCAAGAGCCTTGCAAGTGCAAGTTTCAAACTAAATAAGTTGTTAACGTTTGCACAGAACAAAATGGCAATAACGAACTCAATTTACTTATTTATGACAACAACAAGATCTAGTGAAAAAATAAATACAGAAAATGTCTACATTTTCTTTAGTAAATAAAGCATGTATTACGCCAAATCAACGATGGATTTAGAGAAAATATTTAAATTGTTAAGCTCTGTTATTACAGCAGCTCCTTAAGATGATTCAAGCTCTTTATTCATTTCTTAAGGTGAGGTGAGGTGAGGTGAGGTGAGGTGAGGTGAGGTGAGGTGAGGTGAGG